ATATATATATATATATATATATATGATAAAGTTATGATTCTACCTCATGCTTGCAATCACGACTAACGTCTGTAGCTTAGGTTAGTTTATGCTATTTCATTTTTTAGTAGTACTATTTTGTTGTCCCTTTTTTATTATTCTGCTGCATGTATAAGAATTTCTACCTCATGTTTAAAAATATTTATGGGCACTTTTATTTGCACCTCTATACCATATCTTTTTGCAAAAAGATCCCAAAAATGTTGCTTTTGGGCCAAACAGATCATAACATATTGTTATGTCCTATTATTAACATTTTAATATTATGCAATTGAATTTTGATGTTTGGTAGAATCTCTATGATTCAATGAATAAAAACATTTTAAAATGCTCCTGCTCGATTGAATTATGTTAATTACTATATTTCAGTAAGCTTAATTAATTGATATATATCCATAGTGAATTCAGTCCGCCGTTGTTACATCGTTTGTTAGGTCAAGAGGGGAGGATGTTGGGGGCATGATATTGCTCGATTCAATCTCATGCATAACCCTCGTGGCATAATGTTTACTCATAGAAGAAAATAAAAGTTCAATGTCATCAATCCTCGCAAGGAGAAAGTTCAGATTCAAGCTCAGATTCAGACAGAATGTCTAAAAGCCATGCTAATGAGCTTATTAACAGACAACAAAACTCTCCTTATGTAAGCAACAAAAATGGCTCAAACTTTCCGATTCCATACCAATTTCTATCAATCATAAATGCAAAAAAAAAAAAACAGAAATTAGAAAGTAAATAGAAATCAACGGCACTAGACTAGGAGAAAAGACTAATTTAGAGCGCAGAAACGCTAATTTTAGAGTACCAATGTGACTTCTACGAGATGGATTGATGTTTTGCACCACTTACAGTAAACTAAAAATGAACCCATTAGGGTTTCATAGAAAGGGAGATTTCCCAACCTGCTACATTGGGAATCGGGAGCGGGAACGTGGCTGAGATCTGAAGACAGAGATGATAGATGATCGCATGACTTTCGCGCCTCCACCCATCCCGATTCAGCTCCATACAGCTCCTCAACTTCCTCCTGAACAATAAAGGCAGCTCCATGATTTGCAGAATTCAAATGAAGAAATCCTAAAAGGGAGGGAGGAGGGGAAGGGAGAGAGGAAGAGAGATTTCGCACCAACGCTGAAGATGAACTGCCGTTGCTCTCCATCGAAGATGTGCGAGTTGGGGGCTATAGGCTTTTAAGCGAATAAGAGAGACACTAATAAGCTTTATAGATCGCGTCAATATGACAAACCACACATTTCTTATATTTAGGTTGTGGATTTACATGTATACCACCCAATCCATATGTATTTGCATATCTTAAGCATTGCTCTTTTTTATAATTATACCATCCGAATCTTTCATTATCACATAAAAAATATTATACCATATTAACTTTTAAAATGTGAAACACGTAATATGATATGTATGTAAAATTCCAAAGTTTAAATGTTAGATATGTAAACACATAAGAATTGTGTGGTC